CTAATATCCCGTCATACTTTTGGATCACTTTTCAAAAAGGAGTTAAAACAAGATGAAAGCATCAGTGTTTTAATACAACGAACAAACATCACCTACGTATATGTACTAGTCTTGTAATATATCACTCCATCGTCTAAATTATCTGGAACTACGACTCTTTAAAGAAAAACATTAATTTACAGAAAGTAAAAACTGAAACTTATAGCTCGTGTTAATCGTGTCTTGAGTCGTGATTCACAAACATCTTGGGAAATTACAAAAACATTAACCACAAGTAAAAATTAGAAGACAATGGTTACGCTGTCTCGTTGTTTTCTTTGACCTTACTCGCGATTTACTTTCTCTCTGCCTAAACTTTACATATCCTGTAATTATTCAGTCAAAACGTCTAATCAGTTGAGGGCCGTTCGAACATTCAACAAACACAAACAGTTTAGTTTAATAAGATAAAAAAACAACACGAAAATGCCATATTTATGTAAAGTTCACGCTTCTATACAGCAACCTTTTGTACAGCGCCCTAATATTAAATGTTACAGAGATGATGGTGAACAATATAGACCATTAAAATAATTTTGTTTCCACTACAGCCATAACGTTCTGACCTCGGTCCAGATCAGTACTTAATTTGTTATCTTTAATTATGCTTCCAGCTTGTATACTCGTTATATTTCACCAAATTATCTAGGTCATAAAGTTATTTACGTAGTAGCGTGGTTTAAACCGTTGATTAAAACAAAACGACCGTGTTCAACGTAGTCAAGATTTTTGGAAACTTAGACATTGTAAGGTAACACTGTTTTATCTTAAGACTAAGATCCTAGCTTGCAGGTAAATAAAATGTAATATTTATATCTCATTTGTAGCACTACAAGAAATCACTTGAGAAAAAATAAATAAATTCCATATAATATAATTACCATACTTAGCACAATGCCAGACGACATCTTGCTAACCCTTAAACCCTTATGGTGGAAGAGGAAGGTGATTTAAAGAAATCACTTGAGAAAAAAAAAACGAAATTCCATATAATATAATTACCATACTTAGCACAATGCCAGACGACATCTTGCTAACCCTTAAACCCTTATGGTGGAAGAGGAAGGTGATTTAAAGAAATCACTTGAGAAAAAAAAAAACGAAATTCCATATAATATAATTACCATACTTAGCACAATGCCAGACGACATCTTGCTAACCCTTAAACCCTTATGGTGGAAGAGGAAGGTGATTTAAAGAAATCACTTGAGAAAAAAAAAAACGAAATTCCATATAATATAATTACCATACT